GTAACGTCTGTCCCTAGCCAAGATGTGCAATGTTATTACCATCACACACACACACACACACACACACACACACACAGTGGAATGCATCCCCTTCTTAAAAGTGGTATTATGTAATAATTTAGAGGAAAATGTTTTAAAAATTAGTTTAAACTGCAAGGAAAAATGCACAGAAAGATGGCAGTTAAATTGGGATTTAATAAGAAGTATAGTATACCTAACTCTTGTCACAGTATCATGCAAATGTTTGTAAGATTAACCATTACCTTGATTTTAAATTTCATCTGAAAGATGTTAAGCAGGGCAATACAGGGTCCCTGAATCATTTGAGGCACTGGCTAAGTACTGACTTAAAGGGAAAAATATTGTTTTCTTAAACATGATCACTTCCTACATCGTTCTGTAAAAAATTATAAAGTATCATGCTTCCCTTTATTCCTGTTTAATGATACCTGATCCCCCACCCCCAAAAAGTCATAGTACAAGTATCATGCCTACAGGAAACAATCCTGCATTACTAGGAGCATGGACTAGATCAGGGTGACCAACCTGCAGCACATGTGCTACAAATGGCACAGACTGCCTCTATGTGCGACACATGACAGACTGAGGAGGGGGAAGGCAGCAGACAGGGCAGCAAGTAGAAAGCAGAGCAGCAAATTGTGGAAAAGCATTAGAATAACATTCAGAGATAGCGTGAGGCTAACATGTGGCCTTCCTGACAAAAAAATTCACCACCACTCAGAGGGCCTGATGTGCCTAATAGTTGCATAACAAAAATTTTAAACAAACCTGGAAAATGGTAACATTCTATCCATTTTATAAACACTGTTTAACTTTGCAAATACAGTCTTCAACTTTGGCTCTCAGAATTTCCTGGATAACTCTTGAAAAGGGTCTTATCTTATAAACTCTTTCAGGCTCGATTACTTGTATAGCCTTCTATTAATGCTTGGAAAAGATTTTACATCAGAGTGCAATCAGAGCCCTGGATATAGTAAGATCACTCATTTTTATTCCAGTTTTACAAGTGAAAAACCCATCTCAAGATGCTTCAAGATTCCACCATATTCTACTTTCAAGCAGCCAGGGGCATGTTGCAGCCTTAGGGAAGGGAACAGTCTCCATATTATGCACAGCTGAAGCATCCACAGAGAACTCAAGGTTCCCCTCTATTGCTCAAAACCATTTTCTTATTTGATTCCTTGGGTGTCCAATCTAAGACACTCCTGATTCGAGTTCTTCAGAATTCTTAGCCTTACAAGTTCAAAGAACAGCTTCTATTACCTTTAGTTACTTCCAGCATTCAGCATATCTGCAAAGAACATAACAAGTGATCAAATCAGCCATCCAGAAAAGAAGAAGTACACAATTAATAACCAAATCTGAAAAGTTTAATTTAAATCAGTAGCTCACAATTTTTCTTGGCAGATGACATCCACTTCTGGAGTGAGTCTAACTATTACAATGCAAAGTCTGTAAGGCTTAAGAGTCTACTTTTTAGTGCTGTGACCCCTCATTTGGGAACTTTGTGGCAGTGCCAGGGATAGAATTCTATTTTCCAGGGCATCATTCAACTGCCTTAATCAGGAGATGTGGACAGACACAAAAAGTAAAACAATTCAGGCACCTCTAAAATGTACAAAGATACAAGCCCTCTGAAACATACCAGAAGTGGCTGAACATGAGTTACTGTTTTGGAGCATTTCACTTTTTGTCCTGTCTGCATGGGAGGAAGATTAGAGTGTGCAACTCCTGCTGGACCCCTGCCCCCACCAGACCTGAAGCCAAGCTTAGCTCACTTTAAACTAATAGAGCTGAAAACTTACTACATTATCAGGCTTGTAAACTGGATTGTCACACAGATGAGTAGCATTTATTGGGCACCCTCTACTGGGCAAATTAGGTATTGGTGCTCAAAGACAGTGGCAAGCTGAGCAAGCATGGCCCCTACAAAAATTTTAGTTACAAAAATACGAGGCCTTTGCCTTAATGGGTATTAGGCCTGTAAATACTCTGAAGTCAGAATGAATTAAAGATATGGTTTCACCTCTCATCCTAAACTGTTTCAGTCATGGTACACCATATATCTCTCAGTCAGCTTCTTATAAACAAAACTATACAAGTGATCCAAGTGTACTAGAAGAAAACTAAACCATGCTTAAATTTAATTTAAAGTATCTAGGCTGCTTACAAATGTGGAAAAAAACAAAAAACAGCACTTTACTTTCAGCTCAGTACACCCCCATGCTGAGCGCAGTGCAATGCCCAAAAGAGGCATTTCATTAGCTTGATCCAACTCGCCCAACATCTGTATAGATACTGTGCTTCAGCAGGGTTTTTTGGTGCTTTTATCTAACAGCTTATTGAATCAGCTCTAGATAAGAGTGCCAAATAGCCCTGCTGAAGTGCTCCATCGATATAGACGCTGGGGAGCTGGGTCAAACTAACATGACTCCTCTTCTGGTAAAGTGCTGTTTGTTTGTTTTTTTCACGTCTGTCAGTGCCCCTAGATACTGCCTAAACTTATTCACACAAATATGTACTAATGCACCTTTATCTAAACCACATTGGAACCCTGTTGCGTACAGACTGTCATTCTATTTCCACATGCAGTGAACTAGTGTCAAGTATTTTAATCTATGTGTCTGAAAATCTAAACTGCATGTTCTAGAGATAACAGATCAATGCATTCACTCAGTGAGCTATACAGCCTTTACATTTTCATTATGGCCATCTTTATTAATTCCTTCAGCCATGGTTCTTTAGAGAACAATGGGTTGTTTAACAAATTATTATAATTCTCCAAAAAGTAGTGACCTGTTCAGGTGGCCAATTTCATAGATAATGTGTGTTACACTGTTCAAAATACCAAAGTGATGATAGTTACTTACCAATAGTAATACAGATCTCTTGATTCCCAGTCTAAAGTCGGCATTTAAAAAAAATAAGCAATTCTTTTAGCCCCAGTTCAGAAAAAATAATTAAACACATGCTTATAGTCCCTTCTTAAAAAAAATCTTTTCTGTATCTGAGTTTCAGTTTGGACAAAACCGAGTATTCACAGAACTGTAGAAAATTAGTGTGGGAAGGGACCTCAGCAGGTCCAACCCCCGGCTCAAGGCAGGACCACCGCCAACTAGATTATCCCAGCCAAGGCTTTGTCTGCCTGGTCTTAAAAACCTCCAAAGATGGAGATTCCACAACTTCTCTGGGCAGCCTTTTCCAATGCTTTACTACCTTCTAACGTTTTTCCTAATATCTAACCTAAACTTCCCTTGCTGCAACTTGAGACAATTACTCCTTGTTCTGTCGTCTGCTGCCACTGAAAACTGTCTTGCTCCATCCTCTTTGGAACCACCCTTCAGGTAGTTGAAGGCTGCTATTAAATCTTCCCTCAGTCTTCTCTAGACTAAGTAAACCCAGTTCCTTCCCAATAAGCCTCTCTACATAAGTCATGTGCCCCAGCCCCCTAGCCATTTTCATTCCCCTCTGGCTGGACTCTCCACAATTTGTCCACATCCTGTTTGTACTGGGGCACCCAAAACTGAACACACTACTCCAGATGTGGTTTCACCAGTGCTGAATAGAGGGAAATAATCACTTCCCTCAGTCTGCTGGCACCGCTCCTAACAAAGCCCAGTATGCTTTTAGCCTTCTTTGCAAGAAGAGCACACTGTTGGCTCATAGTAAACTTATTGTTCACTATAACCTCCAGGTCTTTTTCTGTAGAGCTGCTGCTTAGCCAGGCAGTCCCCAGCCATGTACCGGTGCATGGGCTTGTTCTGCAAGCAATCCTTGAAATATTCTATACCAGATTTTGTAAAAAAATCTAGTTATATAGTTCCAGTTCTTTTTATCATTTTGACTATGTTAAAATGTCTACACTTACAATTACTCTTTAGTATGTACAGTCTGAGTCACTGGCAAGTAACGAGTCAAACCATTAGTGATGCCTCCCTTGTTTTTCTCCTATCACTATCATTTCCATATTAGAGGCATGATTTAGTGAACAAACGTTTTATTTATTTCTCTAATACAGAAAACTTATGAGTTTACAGCTAAAAAGTTGACTAATTTAAATTTATACTATGTCTCCATTTCAATTTTGAAACAGAAAATGTTTTATACAAACAACAATTAACAACAGTATAAAAAGCTGTCAGTGTCCACAGGAATCGTGTCAAGTCATCTAGTCACGTTTTCAGTCAGTCAGTCGGAGGTCAGGTCATTATTTAATCTCTGCTCTGTAGAAAGAACACAAGTATGAAATTGTATCAAACGTAAAACACCCATTTTTATTTAAAAACAAACATATAAAATGATATTTCTTACAATGGCACCACACATCATATACAGAAAGTTGTATATGGTCAATACACTTAAAAAAGATAATACCGTACTCCATTTATGATTACTTGACATAGCCTAATGAAATGCTGTCTCTCTCGAGTTAGGTGTGGGAGCCAACATTTTTCCTCATATAATGTTTTTCATATATTTTGGAACATATGTGATATAACTGAATTTTGAATACATGTATACAGAAATAAACAATTATACACACACACACACACACACACACACACACATATGCATGTATTATAAAATTCCCCCTTTCCACAGATTTTTTTTACTTTAAAAATTGTATGCAAAAGAAACTGATGAAACAAAAAACTTATTCAGAATAAGAACAATAAAAGATATGAAGCTTAAGTTAATTCTTAGAGAACACACTGTGGATTCCTACCACTGGTTATTAGAGCTTCTATTTAAAAAGAGATTCTGTGACTCCAGCTGGGGGCGGGGGACGGGACCTACAACAGGTTTATAAAAACAGTAACTCAGCAAGATATGGCAAAAAAATCAAGAACAAAAACCCTACTATCATTTACAACGGTGAAATAATTCTATGATACCTCTTTGTATAGGGCTGTTGGGATTCAGTAGCAAAGATTTATTGCATTATGTAGACGCTTTGTTTTATACATTTTCAAGATCCTGTTACTATGAAACCCTGCTCTTTTAGAAAGCATTCTGTGGGTCAAGGCTGCAACGAACAGGGAAGTCAATATTTCATAACAGTTCTCTGGGAAAAAAACTTGATTATTTCCTTCATTTTTTACAGCATACAGCATTAAATGCCTTGGTAAAGCAATGACATTATAATAGAAGAATGATAAGGTATTGGCTAAGGAGAGATCTAGGGACAGTCAATGTAAAGAACTGTAACGCAATATAAATTTTTAAACACCATTGAAATCCAGTCATCTGTGTGGCGTAAAGAAACAGCCAGCTGTTCTGCTACACAAAAAGGGCCCTTGTGGGAGATATTTTTCAGAGGGAAGTGAGACAATTTCTCTATCTGAAAATTCAAAGGTATTTTAGGTAAGCAGTCTATAAGTACTCAGAAAGAAAACTGGTAAGAACACCAGGCTTGGTGTTCACAATATTCCACTATTTAAGAGGTAAATGGCAAGAGATTATTCATTGATTGTATTCTCCATTACTGATTTCAAGCAATCACTTACTACAAAAGTTAAATAAAACTACTGCTGGTCAGTCAGCTCAGTGCAGCTTTCTGCCATGATAAACCTGATTTGTCTGAATGAGGCAAGAAATAGACGTTGCCAAATGAAATGGATCAGCTAATCCACAAGGTGTCAGAGCACAGCTAATCTGTTTCACTGGGTGAAGCATATCACTCCTTGTCCTGCCCACTAATAGTGCGGGACAAGAAGCGATGGGGTTCTCCCAGGGTTTGAGGGGCCCAGTCTTGCAAACTCTGGGAATTCCCAGACAGGATGAACCCATCAAGTCCTGAGAACACCTGCCAAGCCTCCCCCTCCAGCCCTTACCCAGACCTGCCACAGGGATCTCCAAAGAAGATCTGGATAAACAGACTTTTCCTGCTTATCAGGACTGAGCCCAGCAGGTGCTAAAGGTCCAGGAGGGACAACAGCCGGGAACTGCCACAGCCAGGGAGCCTGGAGATCCCTACTGGCCTGGGAGCAGGGCCATGGCCCAGGAGGGACCAAAGGTGTGATATGGGCCACTGCCAGAGACTGACAGGGTCAGCGTTCTGCAGGCAAGGAGGCTGAAGCCTAGAAGCCAGGTCCTTTACCATAGGCCTTGGCTAAAGGATCCAGCAAGAGCATAGTGGGAGGAGTCTGATAAGGCCCCCTACAGAGTGAATGATAGTACAACAACACCCATGAGGGTGTGGTGTAGGGAAGGATGGAGGCACGCAATGAGCCCTTAAGGCTACAGGAGCTCTGGAGGGGCAGACGCACAATTAGCTGTTCAGATCACAGGTGCCTTACAGGGGCATGAACAAACTGAGAGGGTCCATTGAGCTTAAGGGTCAAAGCAAGACTAGTAGAGTCCGAGAGGGGCTTGATTGGATGGAGGCTCACTCTAAAACCTGTAGGCAGCCTCCCTTATTTAACCTTCATTAAGAACAAGGCATGGCAGGAGAGCAAACAAGGGAGACTGAATCAGGCAGGAGTCTCATGGCCACCCCTATGGCTCAAACCTTCCACAATTGGGTATTAAATATGATGAGAAAGCAGCTGTACTGTCACTACCAGATAGGGTATAGCTTAAGGTACTAACAAGTCTCCTTTTTTATTGTCTTTGATGATTCACAGATACTAAGGAAGGGAACAGTTATGATCTAGTCTCATGCCCTAAATAACACAGACACAGAATTTTATTCAGTAATGTTTGCATCAGTCTATTACTGATCTACAGTAGGAGTGTCCAGCGTATGGCCTGTAACCTGAAACTAGCCTGCGGGACTCTCAGATGGGCTAGGCATTCAAGGGCGGGACAGAGCTGACTGGGGACATGAGTTGGAGACTGGGGATGAGCAACAGCCATGTTAACCCCCAGCCCAGGAGAAGCTCTGTAGTCCAATTCCCAATTCTCCTGTGGTCCAGATCTGGCCCAAGAAGCTGAATATCTTTCTAAACAACATGCTGTAGATCAGAAGTGTCAATCTTAAAGACTTTCAGCAATAGAGTACCTGTCCTGCCCTTATGCAAATGGTTCAAATGGCTAATCACCATGTTAAAAATCAATGTCTTATTCTTATCTCACTAATGTCATATATGGAAATAATGTTACATCCCTAACTCTACTGAACATTCCCTGCATAAACGTACGAAGAGAATGTCAGCTGTCACGGCTACTTTTATCATGGGAAACTTATAATGAGTTGGTTATTTGGAAGGTCTAAGACCCTTGCAGAATTACTACTTTCCAGAATGCATCCCACGTACAGGATGGTAACACAATCACGTGAGGATTAAATCTAATCTGAAACTTCACTTCTGAAGAACAAGCCACTTCCACAAAAGCATAACTGAGCAGTTGCAGGATGACAGATTAATCTCAAAGGCATGCTTCTAATCAGCTTAATGGGAAAGGGAAAATCTGAAAATTCAGTATCTGGTCGAAATTGCGAAAACTTGTTAGACAAGAGAACTAAATTACATATTAGTTGAAGAAAATAAACGTATTACCATAGAAACCAGTACTTACAACAGCAGTTATAGTTTGATAGCACAGCATAATTTATATATGATGAGCAATCTCTACTTTCTCATATGTTTATTTTTAAAGAAAATACTTAGAATTGCTGTTATGCTGAGCCTCCTAAGCATTCCCAGTAGAAATGTCAACAACACTCCAACTTCAAGCCACAATTCCAATGGCTTAAGTACTTTGAGTTAAAGTACCACTTAAACTATATGATTGTGTGTATGTGAAGTACTAGTTAGAGATTAAGACTGCAGTGAAAACAAGTCCAGCATAGCACTAACAAATTATATCTTTCTATAACTGTACCAGTAACACACGTTATCATCCTAATAACTAATTCCCTATTGCAAAGTAAGACTTCAAAGAATCTGCTTTCTGGGTGTGTCTACACGTCGCCATGCTTTAGTATTCCTTTTAGAAGGCACCTCCTTCTAAAGGACCTTCTTGAAGTCACTCCCAGATCTCTATTTCTATGATTCTGATTAGGATGGCTGCTGGTTAGCTACTTTTAACTATTACTGTTGTAAAACCTGTACATTCTTGTACATCACCAAGTGATGCCCTCCTACATTTGGAGTTGCATAGCTTGGCTTGCACTATTTTACTAATGATGTAATGGGGATAAGAAAAGAAAAATCCCAGCTTAGTTCAAAGATTCAGGATGAGGCTGCAGAGCTGGAAGTTAGAAAAAATGTTGTTTTATTTATGAACTGAGTTACCTGTAATAAAAGAACAGTGAGAAAAAAATGGAACACAGCAGTGCTACTTTTAGTACACTGGTAGCCAGTCTTTATGGTAGGTGTGCCACAAGTTAACCCGCACTGTCCCAGAGCACCGGTCTGATCTCCACCCCCTGAGGTATACCTGAAGAGTTTGCACCCTGGGGCACCATGTAGCTTTCAGCCACAGTTATGCAGAATGGAAATGGGTCGGATGGTACTGCAAGAGTAGGTGTCGCCACCAAGAGCCTTCCCTGGTCCCACAATCACTGCAGTTTTGTATGTTGAGCAAGGATCCAGAGCCCTGAATTCTGCAACAGCTGCAGGGCCAAGGAAGCTCAACACCTTTCCTTGGCCCTGACACTGACACTTCCTCTGGCAACATCCTGTGTCCCATCTTGTCCCCACTCCAGTCCAAGGAGTGCTCTCCTCCCCGTCAGCATTCCAGTGCCTCCCTTTACTGACTCATGTGCCACATGCAACAGCTGCCTGTGTCACTTGTGTGACATAGGTTAGACACCCCTGTTTTAGAGGTATATTTTAACAAATAAATTACAATGTATGTTGTATTTCAGAATTAGAAAGGCAAGGCATGTACCCTTATGCACTTTTTCAATTTAGCACAAACATTCAAAACCGATTAACTGCAGCACTGTCCTCTCTGTGGGATGAGCAGCCCTAAAATTCCTCTCATACACAGGGTTTCTAATAGACTCTCTCAGGCTACTATTAGAAGTTGAAAACGAGGGAAGATGGCAGCTACAAAAGTGACTAGTTCCCATCATTTTCAAAGCTTCTTCTAACACCCTTTGACAGCTGCTGTCCATTCACCACTTCTGGCATGGTTAACTGGAGTAAAATCAAATTACAAAGCAGACACTAGGGCTGAAAGATATACACTTCATGTACACACTGAAAGGTATACACTTCATGTGGTTTATGCACCTAACTGACATGCAAATAACTGAAATTTGTTGGAAGCA